TTGAGTGAGTGCGCATCATCAGTGTTGCTACTTCGGGAGTACCCGCTGGCTGTCCGGGGCTTTTTATTTCGGGACTTTCCCTCAGAGTCTGTGTCAACTGTGATGACATTCTTTGGGATGTCCGCTTATTCACAGCTGACCTACCTAAGCAAAGTAGGCAGTTCGCTATCCGCAACCTGCGACCTGTCCGGTGGCCTAAGCTAGGCCCCCTTGAGCCACCTCACGCTCGTTGGATTCGTCGGATTCAGTACATACATGAAATTATGCAATTTTTTCAGATATTCTTTCATACCTTATATCCAGGTTATGGGTTTATTTTTTTTTTCTCTGCAGCCACAACTCTTTTCAGTTCTTATTGTCTGGTTTGTATTCCCTTTTTTTGGTTTTCAGAATTTTTACCACGTTTTTTTTATTTTCTTTTTCCGATCTATGCAAATAACACGTCTCCCACCTTTGAATAAAATATTTGCTCTGTGCAGCATGCACTTAGCCCCCTTCAAAAGCTGCGTCGCCAGATGAGAGCGAAGAAGATTTTAGAAGGGCTAGCTGTAAGCTATGCTTACGGAGAGAAAGCTTGCTTGTGAGCGGCGCTCGCACTTGCAATATTCGAGAGAGAGAGCTTTTCGAGATAAAAGCTTCTGATCTTGCATGCCGTGCTCTCTGGAATGTATGTACAGTGGGAGGGGTTCAGAATTTTAGCGATACAATAAGAAAGACTGTTCCCAAAAAAAAAAGTTGTCTTAATACAATTTTAGTACAGGCATCCTAAATTTAATTTTTGGTCTGCAACCTTCACACCCCCCGCCAGATTTTATCTTAGGGTTTGGACCCAAGATTTAACTGAAAACAACAAGGAAGGGTCCAGACTTTTGTTTCTAGCTACAAAATATCCTTGATGTGAAATTTTCTTTGCCGTTTAAATCTTCCAGTAGATATATCAGTTGGCCACATTTCTGCTTTACGCCAGCCTTCACTCCAACGAGAGCTAGTTTAGCGTTTACGTTATTGGCCACGCTACTCAAAGAAAAATTTCTCTTTATTACTTCTTGACCTACCTCAAACGAACGAGGCTTGGATCTCAGGTCATAAGTGCGTTGATTTCTCTCGTAAGCTTTTGTCAGGTATTTCTCGATGTTTAAGCGAATCTTCTGAAAGTCGTCAGCTCTTGACAATTTTCCCTCGCCCTCGTTGATTAATTCGACTTCTCGCAACAACTTGTAATCTTGGCCAAGTGAAATCATATGCTGACCAAAGACCACGAAATATGGCAGTTTATTACCTTACCAACTGATTGGTGTATTGATTTTCTCAACGAACAGTTTATGCTACTAAGGAACACATCCCATTCCCGATGTTCAGTGCGAACATACGCTCTGAGCGCGGCATTAATCGATATATTAACTCTTCCGCGGCATTCGACTGTGGAGCATAAGCCCCTGTACATAAATGCTGAACACCGTACTTCAAAAGGAATTTTTGAAAAATCACTACTTTTAAACTGCGATAACGCAGCTCACAAGCACTTCCGGAACTCCAAAACATGAAAAAATCTCTTCCCTCAATATGTCAATCAATATCTTGGAAGTAAATTTCTTTACCGCTTTCAGGAAGGTACATTTTGAGAGTTATCCAGGATAATAAATATTCCTATGTTGCCCTTCCTGCTTCGAGGAAATGGACCAATGAAATCAACGTACAACCGTTGAAAGGGACGTTCGCTAAATACTCTAGCGCCCATAAGAGGTTTGAGAGAGCGTGTGGGATGTTTCGTGGTCTGGCGTACATCACATGCGCCAATATAATCCCGGACGTTTATAACCATTTTTGGCCAGTAAAATCTTTACCTTATTTGGTCGAGGCATTTGGCAATCCCACAATGTGCAGAGGAAGGTTGGTCATGCGCAGCTTTAATTACGTCCTGTCTCAAAGCTTCGGGAACAAATAATTTCCAAGACTCATCGGCTTAGTCAGATCACTTGAAAATCGGGGAGTTTGGAGAGCACGAATTTATCTCGGAGTGATCGATACTCCGGCGACTGAAATGCATCCGACTTCAAATCGATTTCCGGTAACACTTCGCATTCCAAAGCCGCTACTTCCGTAACGCCTTCGAATGAACGAGACAAAGCGTCTTTCCCATGCTCGATTTCGAACGAGTAACCTTGTAATTATATTGCCCATCTGGCTAATCTACGCTGAGATCTGACTGGTTCATAAGGCAACGAAGCCTTGCATGATCCGTAAAAACTTTGAAGGGATGACCATCGATGTACACGCGGAATTTTGTTATGGCCAGTACTACCGCCAAGCATTCCAGTTCCGTTACCGTGTAGTTTCGCTGAGCCTTGTTCAGCTTCTTGGACATGTAAGCTATCGGACGCTTGCAACCTGAGTCGTCTCATTGGGCTAAAACTGCACCTACCCCATGAAAAGAGGCATCACATTGAACCACAAAAGGCTTGTCGTAATTGGGATGAATTAAAAATGGAGCTGAGCATAATTTACATTTGATATCATCAAACGCTGATTGTGACTTTTCATTCCATACATACGACTTTCCACGGAGTAGCTCAGTGAGAGAAAAGATAACAGAAGAGTAATTGGGAATAAAACGTTGATACCACCCAGTCATTCTTAGAAATTTCCTTACATGCTTTTGAGTCTTCGGTATCGGGAATACATCCACCGCTCGTACTTTCTCTGATTTAACTTGAAGCGTCCCCTCACCCACAAGATACCCAAGGAAGTCCACCATTTTCAAAGAGACCTGAATCTTCTGCACGTTTATGGTCAGTCCGGCCTTGTGTAATTGGAGAGCAACTTCCGATAAATGTAGCAAGTGGTCCTCAAAATTGTTTGAAAGCACCAATAAATCATCAAGGTATACCAACACAAGAGATTTGAGTTGGTACGGAATTATAATGTCCAATGTCAACCGACTCATCGTGTGCGGCGCGTTTGTCAATCCTAACGGCATTCTTTTAAACCGATAAAGCGGCCTTTTCGGTACTGCGAAAGCTGATTTCGCACGAGATTCTTGGTCTAATTTAATCTGCCAGAAGGCATCTTTAAGGTCGCTCTTTAAAATACAGTGAAACCTTAAAAACTTAACAAGCCATCCATGATCGGAATGGATCTCTGACTGTAACTGCGTTGAGTTTGCGGGCATCTAAACAAAGTTGCAAACTAAACATGTGCAGTGTGACAGGAGTTGACCGCAGGGAGCTCGGAGCTTCCTCAATAACGTCCATATTCAACATACGATCGATCTATGCACATAAAAGGGTCTCCTTTGCTGGAGACAAAGGGTAAAATTATTGTTTAACTGGCTTGCTGTGAGCCGTATCAATGTGGTATTCTATTACGGTCGTTAATCCCAGTCCATTCTTACCGAATGACGGAAACAATTCAATCACGTGCTGTAACTGCTTCTTTGGAGAAATCGACAAGGCTAACTTGAGCAACTCGTGCTCGGATTGAAATGATAATTCGCTTATTGTACATGATGATTATGGAACTATAGAAATGCCAAATCTTTACCAAAAGTCCATACCACATATTACATCCTGTTGGATAGATGAAACTATTAGAAATTCAAAGTCCAAATGTATTGAATTGTAAGTCAGAGGAACCATAATAATACCAGCTAACATCTGTGTCTGACCGTCAGCAGTACGAACAATGCCTTTAATTTGTTTTGTCAGAAGATTCTTCGAAAGAAATTTATCGGTCAATTTTCCTCCGATGACGCTTTTATTGGCTCCGGTATCTAATAGCGCAAGGTATCTCTCACCGAGTATCTCATCCTAATTAAGTCGATCGACACTTTGCACAGTTGGGCTTGTACGTATCAGGTACACCACAACCATAACAGAAAATACGACGAGGTTTTAGGCATTCCTGGTATTTGTGACCCTGTTCTTCGCAATTCCAGCATTTGCTAATTTCGGGAGATCGGAGTGCATAAACTTCGTCAAGGGAGTACCCTTCTTTTTCGGAGTTATCCTTAGCTTCTTCGTCATGACTCATGGAGTTCACAAACCTCTTGCTATTCACTACTTCGTGTCGGGAAAAAGTCTTGGACTTCAGATTTAGAAAGAATTCCTCGTGCTTGTGACACTCTTTGCGTAAGGTTGCCAAATCTGGAGTTTCGACATGAAGCAAGTCGAGCTTCAGTTCCGACTTTAAATTTTCGCGAACCTCAAGGGTAACGTCACCATCCTGCATAGGCTCTCGTAAAGAGTCTGCGATAGATAGCATCGCATCTAAAAACTCGTCAACCTGTTTGCGCCGTCGCATGGCTGCTTTGATCTCTCGATCCGAACGTTGATCCTCGTATCTCTCTTGCAATCGGCTGCGTAACTCATATCAGTCAAGGTTATTCGTGGTCCTATGAACACGCAGTAAAATGACAAGGCTGAATCAGTAAACAAGAGACTGGCAAACTGCGCCAGTAAGGTAAGGTTTCCATTTAAACAATTATTGGTAAGACAATTCAATCTATAAATAAAGTCTTCGGTGGGAATATCTTTGGACGATCCACTGAATTTTATACGCCACTTGGAAATGATATTGGAGATCTTATCAGGATGTTCACTAGGAATATCGGCGACATTAGCACGAGCACTAGATGGGTGTGGCCTATAACTATTGTTACGAAGACTACGAGCAATATCGCTCTCCCATTCAAGCTGGGGCTCATCCCGGAAGTTTCTAGAAACATTTGTCAGGTTCAGATTTCTCAACTCCGTTGTTATTTTCTCTGAAATAACTGCGGTCATATTCTCCTGAAATTTAGACATGGACTCTGAATAAGTCGTCGGATATTTCCTTCGGAAAGAACATTGGATTCCTGAGCATGTCTAGGCTGGCCAGGTCCTGGTCGAGGGTTAAGTCGTGCACTTGAGGCTTTTGGGGTATTTCGTACCTGTGACCTTGTTTTAGGACGATTTTTCGGAATTGTTCCGGTGTACGACGAATTCGCCTCGGTATTTTCCCCACTCTGTAAATTCGATTGAGATTGTGAACGCAACGGTAACGAACACAGCTGCCTACAAATCGGGCATGTCTCATTGGATTTCAACCAATCCGATAAACAAGACCTGTGGTATTTGTGTTTGCAATGGGTTTCTACAATGTCGGTGTCCTGGCTAGTATCATTGCATATGGTACAGCGTATGACTACCTCGCCGAGATTAACATTTAGATTGTCAATACTTCGCATAACCGCCATTGCAACAAATTATGATTAAGGAGAAAGGATATAATCTTTAAGACCAGAATGATTTTTATACCCGGTACTCGAAGAGTAAATACAGAGTAATTCACACTCTGCTTCGCGCAGACTCGTCTCTGCCTCTGCCTCTGAAGCGTCTCTGCCCTGACTCTGCAGTGTGTGGCTCTAGGGGAGGTTGGCGAGCTAAAGGAGCGTGTTGGTGTGAGTAGTGTTGTTGATGTAGATGACAGAAGAAGACAAAATGTAAAATTTGACAAAACACCGCTAAGGTACAGATGTAGTACTGAGTTCCAAGTATAAAAGTTGTGACGCGAAAGAAGCGTCTCACACGTCCCTTCTCGTTTTTAAATCCGAAAATATAGGTAATGATTGTGAGCGTCTCCTATCAGGCACCAGCACAGCAGAAGGAATGTCGTCGGATGTTATAACCTTAAGTCCGTAGCAGATAGAAAGTAAAAAGAATTTAGTTGATGATCCTTTCGAGAAAAAGAGGAACAAGACCGAATTCTCCAGCCTGAACAAGTCTCAATTAATCTCAAGAGAATAAAGGTCATTCACCTTCGCTACTAGGTATAGAACCAACTTACTCAGAACTATCGTTCCTAGTATTCTGATGATTTGATATACATAAAGTCTACTATGATCTTCTTCTATGTAATATATCCACTGGTCTGGTTCCGACAATGATCAGAGTCCCAGCAATTCCGAGCTGGATATAAAACAAGAACTGAAACTTAGTAAAAAATTGGAAGGTAATTAGGATAACGTGAGGGAACCTATAATCATAAAATATACAGTTATTCGGAACTAAAGACCTGTTTTAAATATGTCGACCTATCGGGCCCCACGTTTGTTTTTAACGGCCCATTCGGTTGGTAAAGGTTATAAGATTAAGGAAAAAAAATCTACAGGTTAACAAAAGTGGCAGTTTGTTAGTTACGTTAGGGGAATGAATGACGCATTTAATAGAGAATTGGAACGTGAACGTGAATATGATCCATATGGACTAATCCCATCAGTTCAAACGAATGTACCTCTGTTGAATCCTAAGCAGAGCGAGGTCTATGATACACTGATTAATGCAATTTATGATGGAAATGGCGGCTTTTTTTTTTGGATGCCTCCGGTGGAACTGGGAAGACATTCCTCATGTCATTGATTTTGACCACTGTACGTGCGAGATCCGAAATTGCGGTAGCAATTGCTTCTTCTGGAAAGCGGCGACATTGTTAAACGGATGCCGTACGGCTCACTCAGCGTTAAATTTGCTATTAAACCTTCAAACTACTGAACAACCGACATGTAAAATTTCGAATCACTCCGCAATGGCCAAACTTTTAGTAGCATCAAAAAATCATCATTGGAAGCAGCTGCCGCTGCGCTTGTTCTTCTCTCCTCTCTGCGCTCATCTGTTTTCGATCGCACTTTCAGCATTGCTTTAAGCACTTGGTCGGCACACTGGTCCCATTGCTATTTGTTTTGTGAAAATAATTTGTATTTATTTTTTATTTATATATTCAACTAGCTGACCGGCGAACTTCGCACCGCCTAACAGTCAATGAATGTCGTGTTACTGTTTAGCTGAACTATTTAAGGCTTTGATGAACGTAAAACAATGATACAAAATAATATAGATATAGATATAGATATAGATATATATATAGATATAGATATAGATATAGATATAGATATAGATATAGATATAGATATAGATAGAAACAAAAAAGTACCAACTTGATAGCGCGTGATTTCATCGTTGGTATTGGATGTTTGGATACCAAAAACCGCCATGTCGCTCCCTTTCGTGACATATTTGGAAATGTATTTAATTGACTTGTCCGAATTGCAATCACTTGGCATGCGCTCTGAAGCAGTCTTGAACAGCCTGAACAATGCATGATGTTCATGAAGCATTTGCTGTAGATCTTGGAGAATTGCTCTCTTCGTAGCTGTGTTGATCCCTTGACGCCTGTCGAATTGTTCTTCCATATTGGCCATATTGCAAGAATTCATGCTGTGCATCTTCTATAGGTTGCAATGATCCAATGCGATGGTAATAGGATTTTCATTCAAGCACTTTGTGGTACACGAAATTCTTTGTTTTTTGGTCAGGCGCAAGAACAAATAAAGCGGATGGTTTGCCGACACGTGAGCATGCCACGTAAAATTGACCATGAGAAAAACATTCATTTTCTAGATTGAGGCTACAAATAGTCAAGGATTGGCCCTATAATTTGTTGATCGTCATGGCGAAGGCAAGACGAATCGCGGGAATTGAATTCGTTCAAACTCAAAGGGCATATCCGTTGGGATCATCGGAATCCTTGGAATAAGAATTTCCTCATCTTTAATTTTTCCTTTAAGTATCGACGCGTGAATTACATTGCTCATCAGTTTTCTTATCACCAAACCCGTTCCATTACACAGTTTTGGTTGGTTTAAATTTCTAAGCATGATGACTACCGAGCCAANGATAATTAGTGGCTTCTTCTTCGTTTGTTACACAGTCGATAGATTTGAATGAATATAGAGTACCTACGATTTGATTTTGAATTATAAAATTGAGGTCATCTAAATCTTTATTTTTAGCTGCCAAATTTGCTCGCTCACTTAACCATTTAGTATTTTTGTGGTTAGCAATGATATCCGGGAATACTTTGTTGATAAGCTCGTTTTTTGATGATACGAAATTGCAAAAATTTCTAGGAAATGAAATCAAACCGCTCGATTTGTCAACAGGAACACTGCCATTACCGATAGTCAGCAATTGCTTCGAGATATCATCAGCAGATAGATCGTTCAACAATGCAACTCTCATATTTACAGACAGTCGAAGTTTCTTTACATATCGCCACAGATGTGATGTTTTGAATGACTTTGAATGAATCTTGGAATGACTGGTAGTGTTTGTCGGAAATCGCCAGATAATAAAATCATTGCACCACCAAAACATCTCGAGTCATTGCGCAGATCTTTTAATGTTCGGTCTAGTGCTTCCAATGCGCGCTTGTGCATCGTCCTATTTGATGATTTTTGATGCTACTAAAACTTTGGCCATTGCGGAGTGTTTCGAAATGTTACATGTCGGTTGTTCAGTAGTTTGAAGGTTTAATGGCAATTTTAGCGCTGAGTGAGCCGTACGGCATCCGTCTAACAATGTGGCCGGTATTCCAGAAGAAGCAATTGCTACCGCAATTTTGGATCTCGCACGTGCAGTGCCCAAAATCAATGACATGAGGAATGTCTTCCCAGTTCCACCGGGGGCATCCAAAAAATATAAGCCGCTATTTCCATCATCAATTTCATTAATCAGTGTATCATAGACTTTCCTCTGCTTAGGATTCAACAGAGGTACATTCGTTTGAACTGATTGGATTAGTTCATGTGGATTCTATTCATGTTCAGGTTCCAATTCTCTATTAAATGCGTCATTTATTCCGCGATCTGGAGCTGGCATTCCTAACCTAACTAACAAACTGCCGCACATGAGGTAACACATATCTTCGATCAAGAGCAAAGTCTGGTTATGGATCTCCTCATTCACCTCAAGATCGTAATTTCTTGAGCTGACGCGAATTCGATGTAAAATATCTTCGGACATGTTATCTTTGTATTTGTTCCACAGGTCAAGTGGGTTCGATGGGAAGCATGTTGAAATGACGATAGCAAATAATGTGCGTATCTGACTTGGAGATGCAGAAATAATTGCTTCAGCGTTTGTCGTGTCCCAATGAGTATCGTTTTCAAGCAAATTTAGCTCTTGACATGCTGCACGAAATGTGGGGCACACGATACCATTAACAGTTCGTAGTGATTCAAATGATGTTGGCCCTCGAACATGTACCAGCAACAACCGAAAATAGAAACATTCACCATTCTTCGGATGAACTGTGTAAATACGACCAAGAGCATCAGTAGAACGCATATCCGGATGACCAGGAACATCGCCTTGCTTTCGACGTTGAAATTTCTTCGATGTAGCGTTCCAAGTGTAATAACGTGGCATTTCTGAGTAAAGCAAAGTTCGTGTGAACGGATCGCTTTGACAGGACGACAGGACATTGTTATTAAAATGTGCACTCGCATAAAACCACCATATATAATAACAGTGCCTGAACTTTCGAGACATAGACAATAGCTCAAAGAGTATATAACCACTACGTATGAATAGCTTATCAAGAAAAATCATAGACAACCTATAAAAAGACATTTACAATTTTGTTAACCTGTAGATTTTTTTTCCTTCATCTTATAAGCTTAGTACCCTTACATGGACACAATGAGACCGATGATACACCTTTTAGAATCTATTATTAATTATGCTTGAATTTCACTTTTTTTCTTCTTCTTGTGTTTCTAAGTTTAAAGTACCTAGACTTTAATTATTTATTTATTTATATTTATATATTTATATAATTATATATTTATTTAATATTATTAAAACAATTTTTTCTTATATATTTTTTCTCTATTCATAATTTTTCATTAAAATTGGATTTCATAATTTTTTTAATGATTTTTCCCTTCCTTAAGGTGGCCTTTAGAATGTACATATTAAATTAGGTATCAAACTATGTTAATAAAACTGAGAGTAGGAACGAATGGGTGACATTAGGCCATGTGAGTTTTTTTATGTGCGCATAGGTGTATGGTCAACAGCAATGACCGCTGAACGAAATTATCACAAATTATGCAAGCACCAAATTTTTTTTAGAAGCAAGGCACGGTCATTATATATTATCTTGTTATACCCGGTACTCGAAGAGTAAATAGGGTATATTGTGTTTGTGGGGAATAACGGTTGCATGTAACGTACAGAAAGAACGGTTCCGACTCCATCTCACATTTTGGTGTGAGAAGTGTTGTAGATGTAAATGACAGATGAAGAAAAAGTTTAAAATTTGACAAAACACCGCTAAGGTGCAGATGTAGTACTGAGTGCCGGGTATAAAAGTTGTGAAGCGTAAGAAGCGTTTCACACGTCCCTTCTCGTTTTATATTGTTGTTGTTGAACTGCGCGTAGGGTATACTTGAACTGGGTATACTTCCCCAACTTGCGCTACCTTTGCTTTGTACAGCTGCACGGAGCGCTCGTCTTCGCAGGCCATGACCTTTGTGTTACCCTGGAACCATCCCATGTCTTTGCAGACTGGAGGTGGTCGGCCAATGCCGCTTCCACCCACTTCCACTGTCTCCTGGGGATTCTGCCATCCGCGCTGCCTTTGTCGACGACGCCTATCAGCGTCCTCTCCTTGGCAATATGCGCGAAGGACACGTTCGGCAGTGTCCTGGATCGCTTTGCAGCTGGTCCAGGCGTCTCTTGCGAGCGTTTCCTTTTCAGTTGCTGTTGCGGTCTGCGAGGTTCTACTCTGAAGTTTGGAAGCACTTCCGAGGCCCACTTCACCTTCTTTAGCCAGTCCTCTGATGGACGGAGTATGTGCCCTGCACTCCTCTTTTCGGCGTACGTGAAGCGTTTGGAGTCTGCGCTGGTCGATGGCCCAACCTCCCCTCTACTTTGCCAGAAGGTCGGGCAGCCGCAATGTTGCTTAGCTGCCTTTCCAAGGCGTCGGTATTGGGGGGTGCTGTGCCACCCATCCCAGGATTGGAGTAGGGCCCCGACGGACTCGCACCCTCGCTTTCAACCGAGGAGGTCTTTCCTGCTGTTGAGCGGGTTGTATTTTTCTGCTCCATATTATGCCCACGAGATGCAGAGAAGGGGAACGGTCAGCCAAGGCAGAGAGCCACGTTGCCCGGGTAAGGCATCATTAGAACAGGGGGCTGCCATTTCCCTGAGTTCACGACTGGGCTAGTTTTTATACCGGGCCCCCAGCCAGACTGACTCTCGGCACGGGTCGAATGACACCTTAGTCCGGCCCAGTTTGAGGTGGGTGTGTGGGATGTGGGTAGGTGTTGTGTGGGGAGGGGAATTGAGTGAGTGCGCATCATCAGTGTTGCTACTTCGGGAGTACCCGCTGGCTGTCCGGGGCTTTTTATTTCGGGACTTTCCCTCAGAGTCTGTGTCAACTGTGATGACATTCTTTGGGATGTCCGCTTATTCACAGCTGATCTACCTAAGCAAAGTAGGCAGTTCGCTATCCGCAACCTGCGACCTGTCCGGTGGCCTCAGCTAGGCCCCCTTGGGCCACCTCACGCTCGTTGGATTCGTCGGATTCAGTACATACATGAAATTATGCAATTTTTTCAGATATTCTTTCATACCTTATATCCAGGTTATGGGTTTATTTTTTTTTTCTCTGCAGCCACAACTCTTTTCAGTTCTTATTGTCTGGTTTATATTCCCTTTTTTTGGTTTTCAGAATTTTTACCACGTTTTTTTTTATTTTCTTTTTCCGATCTATGCAAATAACACGTCTCCCACGTTTGAATAAAATATTTGCTCTGTGCAGCATGCACTTAGCCTAATTACTTTACCCCCTTCAAAAGCTGCGTCGCCAGATGAGAGCGAAGAAGATTCTAGAAGGGCTAGCTGTAAGCTATGCTTACGGAGAGAAAGCTTGCTTGTGAGCGGCGCTCGCACTTGCAATATTCGAGAGAGAGAGAGCTTTTCGAGATAAAAGCTTCTGATCTTGCATGCCGTGCTCTCTGGAATGTATGTACAGTGGGAGGGGTTCAGAATTTTAGCGATACAATAAGAAAGACTGTTCCCAAAAAAAAAAGTTGTCTTAATACAATTTTAGTACAGGCATCCTAAATTTAATTTTTGGTCTGCAACCTTCACACCCCCCGCCAGATTTTATCTTAGGGTTTGGACCCAAGATTTAACTGAAAACAANCGACATGTAAAATTTCGAAACACTCCGCAATGGCCAAACTTTTAGTAGAATCAAAAAATCATCATTGGAAGCTGCTGCGGGGCTTTTTATTTCGGGACTTTCCCTCAGAGTCTGTGTCAACTGTGATGACATTCTTTGGGATGTCCGCTTATTCACAGCTGACCTACCTAAGCAAAGTAGGCAGTTCGCTATCCGCAACCTGCGACCTGTCCGGTGGCCTCAGCTAGGCCCCCTTGAGCCACCTCACGCTCGTTGGATTCGTCGGATTCAGTACATACATGAAATTATGCAATTTTTTCAGATATTCTTTCATACCTTATATCCAGGTTATGGGTTTATTTTTTTTTTCTCTGCAGCCACAACTCTTTTCAGTTCTTATTGTCTGGTTTATATTCCCTTTTTTTGGTTTTCAGAATTTTTACCACGTTTTTTTTTATTTTCTTTTTCCGATCTATGCAAATAACACGTCTCCCACGTTTGAATAAAATATTTGCTCTGTGCAGCATGCACTTAGCCTAATTACTTTACCCCCTTCAAAAGCTGCGTCGCCAGATGAGAGCGAAGAAGATTCTAGAAGGGCTAGCTGTAAGCTATGCTTACGGAGAGAAAGCTTGCTTGTGAGCGGCGCTCGCACTTGCAATATTCGAGAGAGAGAGCTTTTCGAGATAAAAGCTTCTGATCTTGCATGCCGTGCTCTCTGGAATGTATGTACAGTGGGAGGGGTTCAGAATTTTAGCGATACAATAAGAAAGACTGTTCCCAAAAAAAAAAGTTGTCTTAATACAATTTTAGTACAGGCATCCTAAATTTTTAAAAACCAGACGTTGGAAGTGTGGGGGGCGGTCTAAAATAGAATCCCAAACCTGGGTTCTAAATTGACTTTTGTTGTTCCTTCCCAGGTCTGAAAACAAAGATCGATGTTTTATAGGAACTACACTTTAAAAGCGTCGAGAAACGGCAAATTTAGAAGGTCATCTATATAGTCAACCGGTGTAAAGATGAAATGCGGTGCCTTCACTCCAACTAGAGCTAGTTTAGCGTTTACGTTATTGGCCACGCAACTCAAAGAAATTAAAAAGAAATAATGAAGAACTGGATGGAGTTTGCTTGCTCCGAACCTAGAGTCCAGTATTCACGCAACTAAAGAGAGCATTCGAAAACAGTCCATAAAGAGCTACAAACTCGCTTAGAAGACTTTCAGCAGTCGAGAACTGTTAAAAGGGAGCGGGAGCAACTAATTAAGCTGAAGAGCGTTGTTGAACATTAGAACCCCAAGTGAAATCATATGCTGACCAAAGACCACGAAATATGGCAGTTTATTACCTTACCAACTGATTGGTGTATTGATTTTCTCAACGAACAGTTTATGCTACTAAGGAACACATCCCATTCCCGATGTTCAGTGCGAACATACGCTCTGAGCGCGGCATTAATCGATATATTAACTCTTCCGCGGCATTCGACTGTGTAGCATAAGCCCCTGTACATAAGTGCTGAACACCGTACGTCAAAAGGAATTTTTGAAAAATCACTACTTTTAAACTGCGTTGCGTTATCGCTCACAAGCACTTCCGGAACAAGGAAAATAAATATTCCTATGTTGCCCTTCCTGCTTCGAGGAAATGGACCAATGAAATCAACGTACAACCGTTGACAGGGACGTTCGCTAAATACTCTAGCGCCCATAGGAGGTTTGAGAGAGCGTGTGGGATGTTTCGTGGTCTGGCGTACATCACATGCGCCAATATAATCCCGGACGTTTATAACCATTTTTGGCCAGTAAAATCTTTACCTTATTTGGTCGAGGCATTTGGCAATCCCACAATGTGCAGAGGAAGGTTGGTCATGCGCAGCTTTAATTACGTCCTGTCTCAAAGCTTCGGGAACAAATAATTTCCAAGACTCATCGGCTTAGTCAGATCACTTGAAAATCTGGGAGTTTGGAGAGCACGAATTTATCTCGGAGTGATCGATACTCGGGCGACTGAAATGCATCCGACTTCAAATCGATTTCCGGTAACACTTCGCATTCCAAAGCCGCTACTTCCGTAACGCCTTCGAATGAACGAGACAAAGCGTCTTTCCCATGCTCGATTTCGAACGAGTAACCTTGTAATTTTATTGCCCATCTGGCTAATCTACGCTGAGATCTGACTGGTTCATAAGGCAACGAAGCCTTGCATGATCCGTAAAAACTTTGAAGGGATGACCATCGATGTACACGCGGAATTTTGTTATGGCCAGTACTACCGCCAAGCATTCCAGTTCCGTTACCGTGTAGTTTCGCTGAGCCTTGTTCAGCTTCTTGGACATGTAAGCTATCGGACGCTTGCAACCTGAGTCGTCACATTGGGCTAAAACTGCACCTACCCCATGAAAAGAGGCATCACATTGAACCACAAAAGGCTTGTCGTAATTGGGATGAATTAAAAATGGAGCTGAGCATAATTTACATTTGATATCATCAAACGCTGATTGTGACTTTTCATTCCATACATACGACTTTCCACGGAGTAGCTCAGTGAGAGAAAAGATAACAGAAGAGTAATTGGGAATAAAACGTTGATACCACCCAGTCATTCTTAGAAATTTCCTTACATGCTTTTGAGTCTTCGGTATCGGGAATACATCCACCGCTCGTACTTTCTCTGAATTAACTTGAAGCGTCCCCTCACCCACAAGATACCCAAGGTAGTCCACCCTTTTCAAAGAGACCTGAATCTTCTGCACGTTTATGGTCAGTCCGGCCTTGTGTAATTGGAGAGCAACTTCCGATAAATGTAGCAAGTGGTCCTCAAAATTGTTTGAAAGCACCAATAAATCATCAAGGTATACCAACACATGAGATTTGAGTTGGTACGGAATTATAATGTCCAATGTCAACCGACTCATCGTGTGCGGCGCGTTTGTCAATCAAAACGGCATTCTTTTAAACCGATAAAGCGGCCTATTCGGTACTGCGAAAGCTGATTTTGCACGAGATTCTTGGTCTAATTTAATCTGCCAGAAGGCATCTTTAAGGTCGCTCTTTAAAATACAGTGAAACCTTAAAAACTTAACAAGCCATCCATGATCGGAATGGATCTCTGACTGTAACTGCGTTGAGTTTGCGGGCATCTGCAGTGTGACAGGAGTTGACCGCGCGGAGCTCGGAGCTTCCTCAATAACGTCCATATTCAACATACGATCGATCTATGCACCTAAAAGGGTCTCCTTTGCTGGAGACAAAGGGTAAAATTATTTGTTTTGCTTGCTGTGAGCCGTATCAATGTGGTATTCTATTACGGTCGTTAATCCCAGTCCATTCTTACCGAATGACGGAAACAATTCAATCACGTGCTGTAACTGCTTCTTTGGAGAAATCGACAAGGCTGACTTGAGCAACTCGTGCTCGGATTGAAATGATAATTCGCTTATTGTACATGATGATTATGGAACTATAGAAATGCCAAATCTTTACCAAAAGTCCATACCACATATTACATCCTGTTGGATAGATGAAACTATTAGAAATTCAAAGTCCAAATGTATTGAATTGTAAGTCAGAGGAACCATAATAATACCAGCTACCATCTGTGTCTGACCGTCAGCAGTACGAACAATGCCTTTAATTTTTTTTGTCAGAAGATTCTTCGAAAGAAATTTATCGGTCAATTTTCCTCCGATGACGCTTTTATTGGCTCCGGTATCTAATAGCGCAAGGTATCTCTCACCGAGTATCTCATCCTAATTAAGTCGATCGACACTTTGCACAGTTGGGCTTGTACGTATCAGGTACACCACAACCATAACAGAAAATACGACGAGGTTTTAGGCATTCCTGGTATTTGTGACCCTGTTCTTCGCAATTCCAGCATTTGCTAATTTCGGGAGATCGGAGTGCATAAACTTCGTCAAGGGAGTCCCCTTCTTTTTCGGAATTATCATCAGCTTCTTCGTCATGGCTAATGGAG